TTTTTCCTCATTTCTTTTTTCCTAGTTTCTCTTTTTCTTCTTTTTAACTTCATTTGCGCCTAATCTTTTCCCTTTTACTTATTTTTCTTTTTTTTTTCTTTTAATTTCCTTCTCTTTTTTCCTTCTATTTTCTTTTTTCACCTTCATTTTTTTTCTTCTTTTTTCCTCTATCATATTTTCCTTCTCTTTTTTCCTTCTTTACCCCCTATATTTTCCTTTTTCCCTCCTATTTCTTTCTCTTTTCCTTCTTTATTCCTTGTTTCTTTGTTTCTACTTTCTATTTTCTTTCTTTAAAGATTCATTTCCCCCCTTCTTTTTTCCCTGTTTGCTTCTTTTATCTTCTTTTTTCCCTCCTTTTTTCTCCCGCCCTTCACTCACTTTTTTTTCCACTCTTTTCTGGTTTTCTCTTTTTATTTTCCTTATTTTCCCTCTCCTGTGCTCTTCCAAGGGATTTATTTTTGAATTTTAAGTCTGCCTTCATCTCTCCCAAGATTTGCTATTTCTGTTTTAGCCTCAGAAAATATTAAGTAGTTCCACAGGAAATGGGTCTTGAAGATATTTCTCATTATGTGGATTTTCTCCCTCCTTTTCTTTAGATCTAAAACTCCTTCTCCTTGATCTCTTTGGGAATGTCCATTTTTTTAAACACTAGGAGGTTTCAACTGTGCCTGTGGAATGAAGGAATAAGTTACTTATTTAGAATGATTTTAAGTTTTTTTTCATTTGACTCAGTTTTATTTGGTTCTTCTTTTCCCTTCTTTCTTTACCCACCTGTTCAAGGCACATGCACTGGGCACTGTGGATATTTGGAATTTTATTATTTTTTTTTTTAATACATTAATTTTTCCAATCCTTGGCTTTTGGAAATGTTTATTTCTTTGGGTCTTTGCAATGCACCCACATTCCCTGGGCTTATCCAGGTGTGAAGCAAGGCCCCTCCCTTTATTTTTATCAGGAATGTTATTGAGTCTACCAGTAAATTTTATTATTTTGACTAGAAAATGTTGTTATTTTTAATAGTAAAATGTATTATGTTTAATAGTAAATTACTAGTAAAATATTACTTTTAGCAGTAATTTGAAGCCTTTATTTTCTCTGGGGCCAGTCCTTGAGAAAATCTGGATTTTCCTTTCCGTCGTCAGCTTTTTGCCCTTGCAACTGGCTCAGTGATTTCTGCTGCCACTTTTGGACACTTTTGGTTGATATTTTAAAGAAAGAGCCAAAAATGCATAATAACTTTTGGGAAGAGGGATCCTCTCCGGTCCTGTGTCTGTTTCAAGCCCTAGGTCCCACAAAACTCCTCCTCTGGCTCTGGGAAAAGCAAATTGAGGAGTCCTTTCCTTCTCCCCCTTGCTGGCCCCCCACATTTTGATCCCTCAGCCTCTCCAAACAAATGGAATTTCTGGAGCCAGGATACTCAGAGCTCATCCCTGGATTTCAGAGCAGGCAAAAGTGGACTGAGAGCTGCTCTGCTCTGTCAAAATGGAAATTATTTTGTATATGCAGAAGCAGATATCCCTGTTCCTGGAAAACCTGGCTCCCAGAGTTTAGGAATCCAGGAATCTGAGCTCTTCCTGAGGTGGGCAGGAGCTGAGCAGGCATCCCAGTCAGGATTTGGACATCCACGTGTGTTACCCCTTAATTTTTGCTTTTCTGTCATCCACCTTGCTGCCTTTTCCTCCTTTACCTGCTGAGGTTGATTTGGTTGTTAGTGGAGCTTTTCGGGTTGTTTTTTTTTCCTTTTTTCCCCCCAGATTCTTTCCTGACATCCTTGCAAAATATTAGCCTCATCTTCTATTCTGTAGATCCCTTTTGACTCTTATCTTCCTTCCCCATGTATTTGTTCTCCTTTAGGGCACCTCTTGCTTTCTCTTTTCTCAGAGTTTTTGCATTTTGTCCCTAATTTTGTGACAGATTTTAGTTTCAACAACAGCCTTGGTGATGTGCAGCCTCTAAAACCAGCAATCTGTTACCTGCCAAAAGTTTGGAGCTCCTGCTGGGTGCCTTGTGCTCTTCGAAAATTAGATTAATTAATTAGAAGTTGAAATTAAAAGGCAAGGCAAGGGGATACAGGACTTGAGGCTTGAAACTCTGCATTTGTGCTGGTGGTATAAGAGAAAAAATAATCCATGGTGGTTCTTGTGCTGCATTTTGGGTCAATGATATAGGTGTAGATTAAGAGAGTCACAGAAAAAAAACCCAAACATATCTAAAAATACATGTATAATTTATTTATATAGCAAATGGTTGTCATTGAAGGATTGCAAATTAAATCATTGCAGTAATTTATCTCCTGGCTTTCTGAAAGTGCTTTCTAACCACTGCACTTGTAAGGGGAAGAAAAACCAGCAGCATTTATGAGCAAAGTGATCTTCACTCGTATTGAATCTGTGCCTCAGTCCTGGCTGGATTCAGGGTTTGGCAGGGCCAGGTTTGTGCTGCTCCCATGGCAGCTTTAGGGGCTCACAACCCCTGGGCTCAGGGATGTGCTGGGGCTCTTATCCCTTGAGCCAGGAGTGCCTTCTGCCCTCAGCTGCTGACAGGGCTGCTCCCAGACCCAAACCCCTCAAGATTTTAGACTTACAATCAGAGTTTTGGCTCTTTGGGGTCCTCTCACACTATTGCTGAGCTGGGAATGTTGGAGTTCACTCTGTGTGAAACACTTGGGCTTTCTGTGTCCTTTTGCACCATTTCTTTGAGAATCCCAGGGCTCAGAATTGCTGTAGCTGGAATTTTCCCCTCCTCCTCTGCCAGGCTGTGATGCTGGAACCCTTTGGCTTAGGCATAGGCACATTGTTGGGCTGTAGCTGCCAGGCACAGCCAGGGACAGCCTTGGCACAGCCCTTCCTCCATTTCCACGGGCTTCCAAATCCATTCAGGCTCTGAGGCTTCTTTTTACACTGGCCAGAAGAATATCCTGGAAATCCACAGCCATGGAAACACCATTTACCACTGACAGTAAATTGAGATTTTGTCTGGTGCTTCCTCCCTGAGGAGAGACTTTTCCTAGAAGGATTTCTAAAATAACTTATCTGTTGTTATCATATTGTTATTGTGTTATTACTTACATACATTATTTATACGTTATTAATAATATTCCTGTTGTTATCAATTACTTAGGGAGTCGCATTTGAGAGAAATCTTTGTGTGTTTGGAGAGTACAGAAATAATAATATTAAATACATAACTTTATAGTATCCTTAAGCTCCACGTCTACATAAGGCAATATTTTATCCTTTCAAAACCAGAATTAGGCTTTGTTCCTTTGATGATTAATGAGTAAAATAAACACATTGCTGAACTAAACCTTTCAGAGTTGTTGAAACCTCAATTTATTTTTTGCAGGTACTCCTGAGGATTATCCCCAGTATTTCCATATGAATCTCACAACGGCTGAACTGACACTCCTCAAGCCAATAAATAGGGATTTGCACCAAAAGTTTGACTTGGTTATTAAGGTAATCTGGGCTGAATTTTTTCAGTGTTTTTCTATTCTTTGGAAAATCAAAATCTCTGGAGAAAATGTGGGGTGAGGCTGCTTGTCTCTTCTGCAGTTTTCTCTTCCTTTTAGCCTGTCAGGCATCATTTAGCACCATCAGGGGGAAGAAGGGTGTGAAGCATTTGTGAAAAAAATGAATCATGGCAGAGTTCTAACATTTCATGTTACCTTGTGTGAACAAACTCAGCACCACTTGTCTCCTCACTTTTTATGAGCCCTGTTGTCCTGAGAATGTCAGATTTCTATTTCACTTGTTTGGTTCACAGCCCATCCTAGAGGATCATTAGGATACAGATCACTGTGTGAGCTGTGAATGTTCACAGAATCCCAGCACGGGTCAGGTTGGGGTAGCAGTGAATAATTCATATTTGAGTAGTGAATATTCACAGAATCCAGGTTTGGCTCAGGCTGAAGGGAGCTCAGAGGGCACCTGGAGCCACCTCCCTGCTCCAGCAGGGCCATCCCAGAGCACAGGGCACAGCATTGTGTGCACACAGCTCTGGAACAGCCCCAGGGAGGAGAGCCCAGAGGCTCTGTGGGCAATGTGTTCAGGGCTGGGCAGTGGCCAGGGAAGAAGTTGTGCCTCCTGTGCAGGGGGAATTGCTGGGCTCAGTCCCTGCCCGTGGCTCTGGTGCCATTGCTGGGCCCCCGGAGCAGAGCCTGGGCCCTGCTCGGAGCCCTCCCTGCACACAGGGACACCCAGGGCTGAGGGCCCCTCTCAGCTGGGGCTCCTCTCCAGCCTGAACAGCCCCAGCTCCCTCAGCCTTTCCTGGGCACCGAGATGCTCCAGGCCCTTCCTCAGCGCCGCAGCCTCCGCTGGCCCCGCTCCAGGAGCTCCCTGGCCCTGCTGTGCTGGGGATCCAGAGCTGGACACAGCACTCCAGAGGTGCCTGCAGGGCTGGCCACAGGGGCAGGATCCCTCCCTGACCTGCTGCCAATGCTCTTCCTGCTGCCCATTCAGCTCCTATTGCTGGGAAAAGCCATAAACCACAGCCCATCCCTGCCAGTGTTCAAAGCCAGGCTGGATTGGGCTTAGAGCCATCTGGGATAGTGCAAGCTGTCCCTGCCCATGGCAGGGATGGCACTGGATGGGCTTTAAGGTCCCTTCCAATCCAAACCATTCCATGACTCTAAATATCCTAAGAAGTTACAGATTAAAGCCCTGTAGCCCTTTATTCCCAGAATTGGGCTGCACAATACATTGATTCAAAAATGAATTAACTGGTGTGGGAGGGTATTTCCTGTGCCTAAATAGCAACCTGGGTCATTAATGGCCATGTTTACAGGATTTAAGAGGTTCCTGTTGCTGTGGTAAATGTGCAGTCAGGGAATGTAAGAAAACAGTAAGGGAAAAGATCAGTCTGGTAGAACGGCAATGTACTAGCCGCTAAAACAATAAAGTTTTAATGCTGTATCCTTCAGGGCCTTTTGGAATAATGGCTCAGGCTTGTACCAAATCAAACATTCAGCTTCTTGTGTTGCACATGTGTCATTTCTCACAGTTGTAGGATCTGATTCTGTTTTATCTGAAGGGGTGCAACTTGTGATGTTTCCCTTCAAACAGAAAATCTACTATTTTTGCAGCGCATACTCAATTTAATCTTTAAAATATTCCCTCTGATATGAGAAGATCAATTTTTTTTCTCCTGTTAAGATATTATGGAAAACTGTGAAAAGGTGGTTAAGTCAATACAGGAATATTTGAATGCAGGAAGGAAGGTAGACAGGAAATGGGGGCACTCACCTGCATTGCTGATAAATGTTGAATTCTCAAATAGGTAGACAATGAAAAAAACCAAAGATCCTAATAAGAAATGCTGTATTTCAGCCTTCCTCTACTTCTGGAATATATTAAATGATAAGCAAGGAGAAAACCAATTTTGCTCTCCTATGGAAGCTCCTAGCCAAGAAACATGAGCAATATTACAACATCCTTACAGAAAAAAAAAGTGGATTTTTGGGGATTTCTAATAGAAATTTCCACGTGGCAACACCAAGGCTGCCACAATATGTGGATTAAACCTTTAAACTGAAAAGGCTTAATTAAAATTAAAGTGATACGACCGCTGCACTGTAGACATGAGATTATGTTCTTGTTATCAGGTCTAAAAAGTGTCAGACAATTTTTATTTATTTTAAGCACGAAGCAAATGGGAGAATTAGTCAAATTGATGCACTTTGTTCCATTTCTGTTTGAGCAAAGGGTATTTATCAATCAGAGAGAATCTAAGCTGACACTTCCATTATTATCCATTTGCAAAGAGGATGGGCTATGGGAGGCTGGATGTGCTGGCACAGGCAGGGAAATGCTCATGGATGGAATTCCCGTACTTTGGAGAATTACCACACCTCGGGGAGAGCTGATTTTGATAAACTTGTTTATGCTGGGGGTGATTCAGTTCATAGGGACTCACTTTTGGAGTAGGCAAAGGATGAGGAGTTGCAAGAGTTTCTCCTCAATATTTGCAGTGGGTTGATGTCCAGTAATTAAGGAAAAGTCATGACATTTGTCCATTCAGAGCTGCTATAAACCTGTGGGAGTTGGAACAGCAAAAAAAACCCTGGAAATATTTTGAAGCTAATGAAAGGCAGAGAATCCCAGATGGTGTGGGTTGAAAGAGACCTTAAAGCTCATCCAGTGCCACCCCTGCCATGGGCAGGGACACCTTCCACTATCCCAGACCTGCTCCAAGCCCCATCCAGCCCGGCCTGGGGCACTTCCAGGGATCCAGGAGGAGCCACGTCTTCTCTGGGAATCTGTGTCAGAGCCTCCCCACCTTCACAGACCTTTTCCATTTCTGTTGTACCACTCTGATCTATGTTACTTACCCAGAACTATGTCAGATTTTCTCCCCTTTAAAGAAAATGCATCATTGTCATATTCAAAATCAGGGAAAGCATTTTATTTCTCCTGCAAAAATTGATTTTCTATTTCTAATGGCATTGTATTAGTGACAAAAATGCTTTGATTTTTAGAACATCAGATGGAAAAATAGAGGAACGTTTTGGTGATTTCATGTGGGCACCTGTGTGCTGTGAAATTGAATTGATCGCTTTGGAATTTAGATAGTTCAATTGATAGATAAATTGTTTTACTTAATTAAATTGATAGTTCTAGAGTGGGTTTTCATCCAGTCTGGCTGGTCAAGTCATAAACCACTGTCTGTTGTATTTGATTGTATTTGGGAAATTAGGGAGGATTTATGTGACTTGGGCATCTCAATAAAAACTCCAATTAAATTATTTTTTTAAAAATAGGGGGAAGAGGGAAAAGGCAAGATAAGATTACCAGCTTCAAATAACATTTGTAGCCTGACTTATCAATAGGACTTTTCCTTGAATTTAGGAGTTTTATGGCTCATGGGGAATACATTCTTACAACCTGGGCTAATGGAAGGTGCGGTGGAACTGAATGAGCTTCAAGGTCCTTCCAACCCAAACCTGTCCGGAATTCTGTGAAAAAGAATTGGTTTGCATCTCTTGGGTGGTTTTGGTGCCTTCCCCACAGAGCTGGTGACAGAAATGTGCTTCAACACGATGCCAGGGCAATACAGAGGATTTTGAAGAGTATTCTTGCATAGCATTTTCTGTATCCCTTGGATCTATCCCTGTGATCCCAGGAGTGCTTTCAGCCAGGCTGTCATTAAGGCGGTGACAGACAATTCCTTGGAAACAGCTCTACAGTGGGATTGCGTTTCCCTATTGTTTAGAGGGTGACAGAAGGTCAGAGTGGAACAGAGTATTTGCAATTCCAGTGTTAGAGGGAAATTGATTTGGGATCCCATTGTGCAAGAGGTGATGGAGAACGTTTCTGCTGTAATATCTATTCCATCTACTCTGGAATTTCTCCTGGCTGGAATTTTTGAACTGAGTGGGATTTCCAGCCAAACTGGGTAGCACAGACAGCTCCAATCTCTGGTGCCTGTGAGCAGGGGCCAGACCCAGGGAATGTCTGGAGCAGTGCTTGAGTGCCAGGAAAGTTTGGGTCGGAGATCAGGGAAAGGTTTTTCCTGAGTGCTGGGCACTGCCCAGACTCCCCAGGGAATGGGCACGGCCCCGAGGCTGCCAGAGCTCCAGGAGTGTTTGAACAACACTCGTAGGGTGGGATGCACAGGGTGGGATTGCTGGGGAGTCTGTGCAGGGCCGAGAGCTGGATCCATGATTCTTGTGGGTCCTTGCAGCTCAGGATATTTTGTGGTTCTCTGATTCCTTTCTCTTGGAGGTGCTTTGGATAAAAGAGATGCCCCCATTAGTCTCAGTGTAGTTAAACTCTTCCCAATGTCCATAATTCTCCTTGATATGGATTTCAGCAGAAACAACAGGAAGTGATGTTCTCCTCACTCTGGAGGTTGTTTGGTTTGTCTTATTCCATTGGGAGCTTCACTGATCCCTCCTGTCTGTTGCTCTCAGAGCTGTCAAAAATTCCTGCATTACAGGGAAAAAAGACATCACTTCAGAAACAGCCTCAGGATGAAACTGTGGAAAAACCTTGGAAGGCAGGAAATACAGATATTTATGTGCCATGTTTGGTGTGATTGCACAGGGACTATTTCCTGTTCCAAGTGGAAATACAGGGAGACTGGGAGACGATGTTTGCCAGCCACTGGCAAGGGCAAAAAATGATCAGGTTTAAAACACAGGGAGGTTGTGGAGGAGAGCTCTAGGCTAGAGGATCTTGGGAATTATCTCAATGCTTGAATTCCTGAAATAATAGCTAATTCTGATCCTGAGGTATTACAGAATCATTATATATATGTAAAATATTCTGGTTGTAAAGGATATAATCACAGAATCATTTAGGTTGGAAAAACTCTCTGAAATCATCAATTCCAGCCATTAACCCAGCCAAGCCCACCACTACTCCATGTCCCCATATCTTCCTAACACTTCCTGGGATGGAACTTCCAGAGATTGACTGTAGAATTGCAGAAGGACTTTGCAAGACCAAGGGACTCAGTG